CCCCCCCCCCCCCCCCCCCCTCCTCAGGAAAGCACGGTCGGAACAACAGCGGCACACAACAAACTGCAAGAAGTCGACGGTTTGCGGTTTGGGATTTCGATGATTTCGAGGTGTAGGTGGTCCGCTGGGCTCCGGTGTCAGGCTGGATGGGACTTTTTATGCAGGATCCTCAGACATGGGCTTTTCGGGAGGGTTAGAACTTAGACCCGTAGCACCCCAAACTCCCAAATAACCCGCAAGACCCCCAACCCTAAAAAAAAAAAAAAATTTGCCGAAGGTCTGAGAAAACAAAACGATTAAGTCTTATTTCGGTTGGCGCGACCGGCTTGTTGTTCTACGTATACTACTTACGTTGTGTTTCTGATGGTTTTACTTTAGGTGTCATAGCGTGTTACAAGGCTTTCGGGGTGTCTGCTCTGGGTTTCGGGGCAGCTCAGGGCTAAGGGGTCAGGATTAACAGGTTCAGTCTATATAGGTTTGAAGGATTTGACTCCTAGGGTTGAGGGTTTAGGGATTAGCTTTGCTTCGGGATTGGGAGTGAAGGCTGCAAGCTTTATCCACTAACCCTCCCACCAAGCTTGCTGACAAACGAAGCGGCAAGCCTGAAATTACAATGCTCTAGCCGCTAGCCCCAAAGCCGTATGCACCCTCTACAATTTTTTGAACTTAAAACTTGAACCCCTAAACCCAAAACGCTATAAGCCCTAAACCCTAAACCCCTAAACCCTGAACCCTAAGCAAAGGCCCCAGGATTGCAGGGCTAGGGTTCCATGACCTATGGGGTCAATAGGCTTTGCGCCTTGGGGGTTTAGGGTTTCCGGCGTGGAATTGAGGTTTTGGGGGCAAGGGCTCCGGGTTTAGGGTCCATAAAGCCTGAAGCCTCAACCATTAGTAACATTCTTACCTTGGAGTTCCCTCATATATAGTCATTTTAGTCGAAGGACTGCCGAAATCCTTGTTAATCTCGTCTATGGACCTTCCACTTTCCAGCCTTAACCTGACAGGCTCTGAGCGCGCGCCTTCTTTGGGCCATTGCTTGCAGAGAACCAAGGATTTTTTATGTCTCACGATGAAAGTGTGCTTACTTGGTTATCAAGATACTCTTAGGGGAAACTTCTAGTCCTGCAGAACGCGTGTCAAGTAACGAGATGCGGACAGGTGCCTGGGGATGCTGTGAGTTGCCACTTCGCCGGATTGACTAGGGTTTCTTACGGTTTTAAGGGTTTTAGGGTTTTTAGGGTTTTTTAAAGGTTTTTAAGGGTTTTAGTAGGGTTTACAGTTTACAGCTTAGCTTTGGCTTTTGGGCCGACCTGAGGCGCTTTCTTATTGGCTTACTGGGGGTATACGATCCGTTGGGGCATCGAAAACCCCCCACTTTTGGGATTGCAGTAATTAACCCCCAGAACGGCTGAAGGTTGCTGAAATGCTGCGCAGACACTGTGGTTGGTGTTGAACCAGAAGGCATTGCAGTCAGTTTCAGTGCAGCACCAATCCGTGTGGAGCATGTGGTTGTCCAGCCACACAGCCACACCAGCAGTCTGCAAAGCCTCACAAGCTCCGTTAAAGGGTCTTGGGCTTTTTGACACTCACCTCTCAGCAAATCATGCAGCAGCTCCCGTGCATTACAAGCCCGATCCCTGGCAAGGCCCCATTTCTGCGACTTTTCCGACTTTTCTGCCCCAGCCATGCCACAGCAAAAGCTTGGAAAGCCCAAGCGATGACGCGGCTGTTGGCCGCGAGGATTAGCTTGCAGAGGATTTGGAAAAGGAACTTTCTGAACAAACAACTGCTGTTCAAAAAGCTGCTGCAGCTAGGTACTGAAGAGCAGCAACTATACGAATCAAAAGCAAAAAAACACAGTTTTCACTGGCGCTGCTGCTTCTGTTCGGGAGCACGGCGAACAGAAGTCTGAGAAGATGTGTGATTGTCGGAAGGGTCGGGAACAGGCAAGAATTGGCATTTGCCCGAGAGGCCCTGTGGAAAGGCTGTCCAATCACATCTGCCGCAGCAAACATGTGCGAGCGATCGCGGCACATTATTCTCAAAGCCCCTACGGTGGACCATATCCTGTAAATCTCAAACAAGGAAATGGGGCCTAGGGGAGTCCGGCGTGAAGTGATTGGATATACGCGCCTGCACAAAACGCAGTGGAAAGGCATTCTGCACCACTACAAGAGAACACCACTTCAGGAAGCACCCGTTGTCAGGCAAGGGTTGGCACGGTTGTTCCCCAGCCAGTTAAATACGATGGCCTGTGTCGATCTGGGACCAAGCCGGTCCTGATTTCAATCCCCACTGGCGCTCTCCCACACAGCCAACGCATGGAGGAAACGACCCCACTGTTCTGCCAGGAGGGCTTTGTGAGCCTCCGGCAGGGTCTGGAAGCGTACGGCAAGGAAGATCGTTGCACTGAAGGTCACGTACCGCAGCCTGGAGTACCAGCAAAGATCGACCTTAGATCCCCCGAAAAAGATGCCAGGGTCACTGCTTGCCATGTAGCCGACCAGCCACCTAATCTCGGCCCTCGCGTCCCCAGGCAAGCAACCCTGCAGGGAATTCACAAAGGAGGCCGCTTTCTTTGACTTTTCACTGACCATGGCTGTACTTCCCCAGGCATATGTCGTCAAGCAGATCATCACGATGCTCGCTGCCAGCTGTGGCAGCATCCAGTCTGTGCTCTGCAGGGAGCTGGTTGGCATGAAGATCTCTGCAATGGGGGCAACTCCACCCATCAACGCAGTCACAGACATGACTCCATATACTGTTTGGCAATGTTCGGTGATCTGGCCGGTGAAAGCAGAGATGCGAGCCCAGTGAATATAGGCTAAGTCTACACCTTGAGGGTTACTCGCGCAGCCGCGGCAGAACGCATCCACGAGCTCGTTGACAAACTCGTTCAAACGCAGTAGCCATAAAACCCAACCTGCACGATAAAGGCATTGGAGGCAAGGCAACGCGACGACTTCCCATGTCATCTGCCCACCGCCCATCGCAACAAGTCGGACCTTCGCGACTTGGCATATCATCCAGCAGGCGAGGCTTGCCGTGATCACAAGGATGTGCCATTTGATGGCCGACTTTTGGGCTGGACCCATGTTTTGGGACCGCATGGCATCCTTCACATGTGCTTTGAACTCCTGGAAGCTGATGCTGCAAGACTTCTGCAACAAGAGGATCAGGTTCGCTGTAGCTTCCGACACGTGCAGCAAGCAGCTGCCCATTTGCCACCCCGTGTTGCCTCCAGTGATCGCCGTGTGTAGACACGATGCCCACAGCACTATGCACATCAGCACCGCAGCAGCGCGCACACTTGCGACCCACCGAGGTTGGCCATGTAGGACCACACCAATGGGCAGGAGAAGGATGATGCAAAGCCGATCGATACAAGCCTGACGGTACCGGTCGAAGCCTTGAGCCACCTCATCCTTGCTCTCTGCACGCGAAACCGACCTCACCAACACAACTTTGTCGACTGCAGAATGCAAGGTCCTCATGGATGGACGGTGCTGCACCCCTACGACCTCGTCGAGTGGAAGGGACTTTGCCCCTCTCTTTTGCACCGCCCCAGATGGACCTCTTGGCGGACATGAGTCTGGCATGATGCGGTCGAAGCGCTGGGAATCCAAGGACCCACCTGCCATAGCCCGCTCTTGCAGCTGTTTCTGCAGCTCCTCCAGCGTGGAATTGCTGCCGACGCGACACTGAGTCGGTGCGGACAGTGCGCTGGGAGCTTCCTCGGGGGGCTCCACCTGTGCTTCCTGCGGACGTGGAGATCGAGGACTGTCCATGGCGGTAGCAATGTTGGGGCTCTGGAATCGTCGACCTAGGCCTGATGCTCAACTAGCACTGAGCCATAACATAGCCATAGCCATGTGTTTAAGGCTCCGGATTTAAGGATTTTGGGTGGGTGGGCGTGCTCCGGAGATTCTAGCGACTTGCATGGCCTCTTCTCTGTTTCTATCCGTGCCATTTAGTGGCCCTGGCCCTGCTGATAGAGACATACCCACGGAAATCAAAGGGCCTTTAAGCATACAGGGCTGTTGCAGTGGGCTTTCTAAGAACCCCTCTTGGCTCACCGGGACCATGCCTCCCACTTCGAGAATCTCTGCCAGGGGAGGTGCCTCGATCACTGCATCCATGACATCGAGGGCACGCTCTCCCAGCAGCCTAGGCTACTCAGGGGTTTTAATTTTCATCCCATTCTAGTAGCACAGTGCTAATAGCCGAGGGGTTCTTAAAGTAAGGATCCTGTTTTATTGGGATTGCGGGGGGCCTAGCTTTCTCAAACTCCAATATTAGGCAGGCAGCCCAAAGGCCTTGGTGGAGCTATACCTTAAAACAACAACAGAACTTCAAAGACCCAAAATAAAATACACATAGTGGTGGTGATGACAGTAGTCAACATCACAACAAATATTGCAATAACGATGATGATGCAACAATAATAAAAATACCAACAACTTCAATACTGATAACGATAGCACTAGCACAGATAATTGCGTTGAAGGTTATGCTCTCCACTTCCCACACAGCGAAAACCGCAAGCTAATAGAACACCTCATCTTTATTTGGCTCGCAAGTGCCCCGCAGTTCGGCCAAGAGAAGCTGTGGGCGAAATTCAAAGCTGTCAATTACGGGTTTAGGGTTTAGGGTTGTTTTTTCCAGTGTCCGCAGTTCGTATTTCCAACACAGAGATGAGGAGGAAGGCATTGGCATCTTTAAAGCCAGGCGCTGGAGCACCTGGATCGCCTCTGCAACCAAGGAGCTCATTGTTATTCCGGACCACTTTGCCAAGACTGGCGCTGGGGTGGATGATGCTCGCGTCCGCCATCTTGGCAAAGTCCTCCCAGGCCTGCTGGTTGAGTCCTCGAGGACCGCAGAGCTAATTTAGATGCCAAGCCGTGCCTGTGGTGTTTCCCGACTAACGACCCAAAGATGTCCTAGACACATTGTTGTTTGGAAGCCCATTCCAGCTTCAAACATTCCTCAGCAATGCCTCTTATGAGCCCCTGCAGCTCCCGTCGGCACTGCTGCCCCAAGTTCTTCGTCATGATGGCAGTCAGGGTGCCCAAGTTGTCCGGTCCAATCGGTTCAATGGGACCAGTATCCCAACAGGCCTGCTTGTCAAATCTCGTCCTACATTCTCAAGTTGTGCTTTGAGCTTCCGGTCAAGCCTGAAAGCATGTGGGTGGCTCCGGCTCCGGGTTTCAATGTCTTCGTCATGGGATGTGGCGAAATCTTTGGCAGCCCGGATCGCAACCGCAGGGAGGGCGCCGAAGGCTAAGCACGCCATGGTTCTGAAGGAGGGCATGATGGGGTTAACAGATCATAGGCTTTGCAGGCCAGGTCAGTGCCGAGCCTAGAAGCTGCGGTCATAAAGGACTCAAAGAGCTTTCGCCGATCCTTCCTGAACTTGCCACTTCACGCCAGGACTGCGGTTTTTACATTCATCTTAGGGGCCTAGAGCTTCTGCACTTGAAGTGACTCTGACCACAGCCTAGGTCTTAGGTCACACTCCATTTGGGAGCATGTAAAGCCTCCAGAAGCAGCAGACACGTCACCCAAAAAGGTGATAGCGCTGGTGGTACGAACCCTAAAGAGCGCCGCCTCATTGACTCGGTTTCTCCATTCTCGAGCTCGGGTCCCATGCTTGTTGGAACCTCGATGCGGTGTTGCGCTTTTGCCTGCTGGCTTGCCTGCGAAGTCTGCAACTCCTGCATCCCTGCTTTGTGGAGCAGGATTGCAGCGTGCACTAACAACATGCTCAGCCCAGAAGCAGATCTGTACTGCCTAGACCCTTAAATGTAGTACCTTTTTTTGGATGACCTATTTTATGGTTAGGATCCTATAATAAGAAACTAAGGCAACCAAGAAAAGGTACTACATTTACGGGTCTAGGTGGCCTCCTGACTGGCTTTCCATTAGCTTGACCACGGGCAAAGTCATTTCGACTGCAAGGATGCCACAGCCTCAAAATATGCGCGGATGTCATCGTCTGTCTGCTGATGGCCTCGGGGCACACACAGTGACGTGAAGTGCTCTGTGAGACATCAGCGACATGAAGTGCTAAGAATGCATCGTTCACAACTTCAGACTGACCGTAGACCCGAGCACATATACAACACCCTCGAATAAGGACCCGATATCGACTGCTTTGCGGACACTTATAAAGCCCGACCCCGAAGCCCCCCAAAACCTCGCGGGGCTGCCTGTCAAGGCTGGCGCTGCGCTTTGCTGAGACGATGCGCGCGCCGGTGTTGGCGCTGGCGAAGGCGACGGATTCGGCGTTACCGTGGCCTGCCCTGCAGCACGGCTGAGGTTTCTGTCCTCTTAAATGCCAGTGATTCTGAAAGTAGGCACCATGAAGATTGTTTAACACAGTAATATGCAGCAAGACTTCAAATGTACAACCTTGACACTGCGAACCGCGACCAGCGGTAACCTCAACCCCCAAAGAGCCTGAAGCGCTAAACCCAAACTCAACTTAACACTGATACGTAGTCAGGTTAGATTGCCATGCACTCATGACTACGCGTGAGGCCCCGAACGCTTCGCTCTGATGTAGATGCTTGAAAGTGGGATTTCACGATTTCCTTTTAACACTTCCAAAATCAAAACGTGTTGCCTTGCGGCACCGGCTGCCCAGGGCTAGCCAGAACCGGAGTGGCGTAGGCTTGGTTCCTGCAGGCAGCAAGCACAACGGTTTCAGCCACATGGTCAAAAAGCGCCTGCACCCCTAAGCACGAAAGCCCGAAAACGAAACTGTGCAGAACTCTAAAATTAAATGAACTAGCTCGCCCAGCCCTTGGAACCCCAAAGGAAGTATTCCCAAGTCCGAACCTGATCGAGCCTAAATCTTGCCAGCNNGCCCCCCCCCCCCCCAGGAAAGCACGGTCGGAACAACAGCGGCACACAACAAGACTTCGACGGTTTGTGGGCGAAACCTCGTGCAGAAGTGAAAATCCTCAAACATGGGCTTCTGGGGAAGGTTTAGAACCTAGACCCTTAGCACCCCAAACTCCGAATTAAACCGCAAGACCCCCAACCTGCAACCAACACCCTTAAACAAAAACAATATTGCCGCAGGTGTGAGAAAAGCTTGATGGGCTTTATAGACAGGCTAGAGGGGTCTGTGAGAAGGGTTTCTGAGGCAAATCGCTTAAGTCTTATTTCGGTTGGCGCTACCGGCTTCTGCTGTTCTACGTATACTACTTGTGTTTCTGAAGGTTTAACTTTATGTGTCCTAGCGTGTTACAAGGCTTTCGGGGTATCTGCTCTGGGTTTCGGGGCAGCTCAGGGCTAAGGGGTCAGGATTAACAGGTTCAGTCTATATAGGTTTGAGGGATTTGGCTCCTAGGGTTGAGGGTTTAGGGTTTAGGGGTGAGCTTTGCTTCGGGATTGGGAGTGAGGGCTTCAAGCTTTAACCACTAACCCTCCCACCAAGCTTGCTGACAAACGAAGCGGCAAACCTGAAATTACAATGCTCTAGCCGCTAGCCCCAAAGCCGTATGCACCCTCTACAAACTTTTGAACTTAAAACCTGAACCCCTAAACCCAAAACGCTCTAAACCCTAAACCCTAAACCCTGAACCCTAAGCAAAGGCCCCAGGATTGCAGGGCTAGGGTTCCATGACCTATGGGGTCAATAGGCTTTGGGCCTTGGGGGTTTAGGGTTTCCGGCGTGGAATTAAGATTTTGGGGGCAAGGGCTCCGGGTTCAGGGTCCATAAAGCCTGAAGCCTCAACCATTAGTAACATTCTGACCTTGGGGTTCCCTCATATATAGTCATTTTAGTCGAAGGACTGCCGCAATCCTTGTTAATCTCGTCTATGGACCTTCCACTTTCCAGCCTTAAACCTGACAGGCTGAGCGTGCAGAAAACCAATGAGTTTTTATGTCTCACGATGAAAGTATGCTTACATGGTCATGGAAAGGCATTCAGGCTCATAGGGTCACAGGCGCTAATCCTTCAGCTTCGCACATGCAGAAGATTTTTTGGGGTTTGCGAAAGAAACCTCGCGCGGTGCCGGCCTTCCGTCCCTCTCGTGACTCTCCTGCACGGGTGTTTGGGGCGGACCTCGGCGAGGAGTCAAGGGCTTGAGAGGTCAAATTGTGCCAGGTTCGGGCTAAATCCGGCTCAGGGCTTTATTAGGGTGCATAAACCTTCGATCCAAACCTACACCCTGAACCCTTAAGCCCCCAAATCCATGGCTCTTGAAACTCCTTGAGCCAACACAAGCGATGCGCAGAAAGTCCCAGCGTCACAGCTGGCCCCGCCCCGGCGCGGGTCGTGAAAACACAGGCTGGTTTAGTGGAGCGGCGGGTTCCTCAAGGCTCGTGGCTACAATCATTAACTTAGGGTTTGGGGCTTAGGGTTTATATGTGTATGTATGTATATATACACATATAT